TCCCCATCTCTGAGCTGTGCGAGGTTGAGACTCTGAATGCATCCAAGGCAGGGGAGTCACACTTCCTTCTCAAAACTGCATTATCTACAGAGGAAGGGGTTATTGGGGTGACGTGACAGAGTCTTGGGCAGAGAGCCTTGCAGATTTGAAAAGGGGGTTGAGGGATTTGCTTGTCCCCTGGGTCTCCTCCTCCTTCTGCCTTCTACCTGCTGGGCTGGGGTGGGGCCGATGTTTGCAGGGGCGGGGGTGTGTGCCCAGGAACAGCTAGGATGGTGTCAGTCTAGGCTGGCTACTAATGTTGCCACCAGACAACTCCAGGGAAAACTGAACCAATCCTGTTCTGCGCAGGCAGTTGAGTGGTCAAGGCTGAGTGGAAACTATTTTGCCCCGACCTAGAAGAATGTCAAAGATTTGTGTATGTGTTCTTTTTGTTTGTTTTTGGAAAGGGGATGGTGGACGGAGGTGTTTACTCTTCTAATTTGGAGAGAGGGCCACTGTAGTGGGGGCATTCCCAGAATGCCTTGTCCTTAATCCCTGTTGCGACACCCCAGCGTTCTCCCACCTTCTTGGCTTTCCACTCCCTGCCTCCCCTCCCCACTCCGCTTCTGGCCTGTCTAGAACTCGAAGCCCCTAAAAATAAGAGGTATGCCGGACACATCAGGAAAAGAGGAAGTGAGGCAAGGGTGAGAGAGAAAGAGAGAAGTGGGGGAGGGAGAGAAAGGGGAGTGAGATGAGGGGGAGGGGGGGGAGGGGGAGGGGGAGGGAGGGGGAGAGAAGGGACCACCCGACCACTAATGGGCTGTCCTCTGAAGAGGAATGGAAGGGAAGGACAGGTAGGCAGCAAACCTATCGTGGAAACGGAGTCACTCGCTCCATTATAGTTTGATTTCAAATCCTCCTAACAGAGTCTGGAATTAGGGGATACATTTCATTCCTCATGAGAATGGGTGTGGAGGTAGTGACGGATGTGGGATGGAGTGCAAATCTGGGTTCATTACTTCAGCAAGGGCCGGAGCCATAGCATAGTGGGTAGGGCTTTTACTCTGTATGCAGCCAACCTGGGTTCGATTCCTCTACCCCTCTTGGAGGGCCCGGCAAGCTACCGAGAGTATCCCGCCCTCATGGCAGAGCCTGGCAAGCTACCCGTGACGTAATCGATATGCCAAAAACAGTAACAATAAGTCTCACAACGGAGATGTTACCGGTAGATGCTGGAGCAAATCGATGAACAACGGGAGGAGAGTCCTACAGGACAGTGCTACTTCAGCAAAGAGTTGCTGTTACTTTGAAAAGTAATGTCGCAGACCCCCAACTCCACTGGTCATCTCCCTTTTTTTAAGGGTACCTAGTTTCTATTTCCTTATTCATCCTTTCCAAAGATTGGACGAAACCAAAGTTCAGTCAGCTCCCTGATTTGTCCTTCACAAGGACTGAGTGAGTAATGCAGGGAAACGATACAAGCTGCAAAAACTTCTATTGAAAAAATTAAACTCCCATGAACCTACCACCTTTCTTTAAAAACATACCACTGTCTAGACCTTTGAAAGCCCCTGCTGGCTTAAATAATCCATCTCCCACCCCCTTAAAAGTAAACATGACCCCAAACTTTGCTCCTAGTCCCCTATTTCCACATGACTAGATTCCTTTCTCTCTCTTTCTTTCTCTCTCTTTCTTTCTTTCCTTCCCTTCCTCTCCTCTTTCTTTCTCGTTTTATTTTCCTTCCTTCTTTCCTTCATTCCTCCTTTCTTTCGTTCTTTCATTCTTCCCTTTCCTTCCCTTTCCTTCCCTTCCTCTTCTTTCTTTCCTTCCTTCCTTCCTTCCTTCCTTCCTTCCTTCCTTCCTTCCTTCCTTCCTCCCTCCCTCCCTCCCTCTCTTTCCTTTCTTTCTCCAAGTAAAACGCTTTCAAGAAATTTACTTAAAAATGTGATGGGGGAGGAAGGGGGAGAGAGACTGTGTTCGAGGCAGAACACGCGTTTCTCCTTAATTCCCGAGTTTCCGTGGAGGGGTCTCCGGGGCCCCTCGCTCTCTGATCACTCCTCCCACGAGTGAGCGCCGGGAGCAGTGGCGTGGAGGGGCGCAGGCCCCAGACTCAGTGGACCTGGGAAATGTAGTACTCGAGGAAAAGGCGAAAATCCAGGAGCGGCCTCTCCCCGCCTCCGGCTCAGCCCACCCCAAGATTAAGTCAAAGCCAAACCCAGGCTCGACGTGCCAAGGCCGGCGGTCACCCGCCGGGTTCCCCTCCTCTCCCCTGTCCCCTCCAGCCCTCTTCCCCCCTCTCCCCTGTCCCCTCCAGCCCTCCCCTCGGGCCACGCTCTCCTCCCCAGCCCCGAGCCAGTCTGCAAAGAGCAAGTCCGTGATGTCAGAGGCGGGGTGGCAGGGGGCTGGGGGAGCGCAGGCCAGCAGGGGGAGGAGGGGAGCGGGGCGGGCTTGGCAGGGAACTGAGCGCCAGCTGGCAGTCGGGTCTGGGTTGGGTGGGGGGTGCCCAGGCCCGGGGACTCTCTGGCACAAGTCTCGGGGGTTCCCCTCACGCGTGCACAGGCACACACCCACTCACGTACACACCCACGTACACACACACACACACACGTCTCCAGGGGACTCAGGACAAGTAGGCGGGTGGTCTCAGTCCCAGAGATGCTGTTTGCAAAGACCAAAGGGCATCAGGGCAGGGGGGATACTGGGGGAGGGGGGTGGGAAGTGGCTCGCTGCAGGCAGGCGTTTCTCTAAGGTCAGTTCTGCAAGTAAACTCGACGCCACAAAGCCCGCAAAGGAACCTCAAAAACGTGGAGAAGCAGAGCGGCCAGGGGCTGGGCAGAGCCCGGGAGGGTGCCCGGAGCGGGGAACCTGCGGGAAAAGGTGCCTACACCTCAGTGGGCTCTGCAATCGGCGCCCCCCAGCGCCGTCCCCATCCCCCTTCCCCGCCTTGGGTCGAGCCTGTGAGAAGATGGGGACTACCACTCACCAGGTTTGTCCAGACTCTGGCAAGGGGCAGCCCGAAAGGCCCAGCTGGGCGCAGACAGGGCGCGAGATCCTGAGATCCTCGGGAATGGGCTTCCCTGCAGCGGTGGAGCGCGGGGCGGGGCCTAGCGCGGGGCGGGGCCTGGCTCTCGGGGGCGGGGACTCCCGAGTGTCTCCGCCCACTCACCCCCCTGAAACTGGTGTCAGGGGAGGGGCCTGGCGCGCAGGGGCGGGGCTTCACAGGAGACTCCGCCCATTTCCTCCAGGCAGCGGCAGGGGCGGGGCTTGGCCCCGGACAGCGCTTCTTTGTGTGGCCAGCCCCCTGGGCTCGGCCTGGCCTGGGACCCCAGTCCTGGCAGAGTGGACAGCCGTTTACTGAAAGGCCTCAACTTTACTTGACTCGTCGGGGCCAACTCGGGCACGCATTCCCGGGAACGTCTCGCGATTCTCAGTTGCAGGAGCTAAGAGTCCCGGGAGAGGCGTGCTTGGTGTGTATTGCCCCATGGGGAAACGCAAAGGCAGGAATCCTTGAAAATGCTTTCCTCCTCCGGACGGGAGGTATACCTGACCCTTTTAAGTTGATCCTGAGGAATAGTGGGGGCTAGGTAACTTTTCCAAGCGTGCTACAAAGTTAAATGTCACTTCTGAGTGTTAAACCAAAGAATGTCTCTAGCAAATCTGGGCTAAAGCTGATCCATCAGCATCCATTCCATTTTTTTTTTCTCTAGTCCTTCCTGATAACCAGTTGGCAGCAGCTCCTTCTCTGCCCACGAATGTCCCGATCCTACACTTATGGAGATTCTGCCTCCCTGCGCTGGTCCATTTGCAGCCTGTGACAGGCAGCCAGTGAAGTAGTGGGGAACTCAGCGGGTCACCAGAAGGCCTGGATTCAGATCCCTGGCCACCCTCCATGGGCTGAGTGGCTCAGGAAGCCTGACCTAAGGCCTCTCTGTGCCTCTTTTATTAGCTGTAAAACGAGGAGGATCAAATAAGAACCTGTCTGAGGGTCTACCTGAGGGGACTCAATCCTTATAAGGTTCTTCGATCCATGCCTGGGACACAATAAAACTATGGATGTTTGTTGAATAACAAAAAATATTCGGGATGCTCTAAAGCCCAATATTTCATGCTTGGGAAATTGGGTGACTTTTAGCCCTGACTTTGGTTTGGGTCCAAGCCCATGGCCTATTTCTTCTCTCCATCTCTTTCCGACCCCTTTCAGCCCACCAGTAATCTGAACAGGAGGGCAGGTGGGAAGGTGAGCTCAGCGGTTGGGGTCACACAGGGGAGACTTGGGGAACGCTAAGAGGACTTGAATTCAGGATCCTTCAAGGATCAATGATCAGTCCTCTATGTTCTCCTGAACTCAGGGTTTTCAACTAACGGACAAGGTCTGCTTGTAAAGCCCTTTGGGGTATGAAATGTCAGGAGTAACACAGGTTAGAACCGTATGATACCGTTTCACACACACATATACTTTGAAACAAAAACACTGCATCTACATGTTAATTGTTGACAATAAGGTAATAATAATAATAGTAATAGTAATATACACAAAAAAGGTACAACCTAACTTACCTCTGAGGATAGGGCTGCTAGAGTCCTGTTCTGCTTCTTAGAAGACACACACACACACACACACACACACACACACGAAGAGGACAGAGAAAACTAAGGCAACAGGGTGAAAATGACACCATCTGAAAAAAATAAATCTGTTATTTTCTGTACGTGGTTTGCAGCTTTAAACTATTCTCTCGTGAAAAACGTTGTACAGGACCCAAGAAATGCCTGGGAAACACCAGGCTTCTGCCGCTGAGGTTCCTGGGGAGGAAATGCACCGGGGAGGGACCCGAGCAAGCGCGGGGCAGCCCCGGAGAGAGGCACCGGGAGTGGCCGGCTGCTGCCCTAGGCCTCTAGCTCCTGGGGCCCCCCAGCCCGTCCTCTCCTCTCCGGCTCCCGCTCCCGCTCCGGGGGGCGGCGCGATTGCAGGGGACCCAGTCCAGCTCGGCTTCCCGAACCCATCTTCGGACCAGACTCACCCATTGTCCACACCGGCTACTTCGGAGAGGGACGAGACTCCTCTGCAGAGATGCGACAAGGAGTCTGGGCGACAGCCTGGGGACTTGGAAATTAGGGGAGGCAGCGGTGGGAGGTGCCTGCCTGCGTGTGTCCCGGGGAGGGGGCAGGGGTGGGTGGGAGTCGGGGCGGTGCTGATGGGGCGTGGGGTGTAGAGGATCCCTGCGGGGCTGCTGATTGGCTGCCCGGTGGTGGGGGCGGAGCCTGGCCGGCCAGCCCGGACCAGGAGGCCCTGCTTTGTGTCAGTTTCAGCAAGGGGATGTGGGACCCAAATCCTGGATAGACTCCGGTCACCCTGGCGGGGAATGCGGTCAGAAAACAAACCAGGAAGCCTAGTTCTCAAAAGAACGGTGCCAATGATAGCTTTTTTAAAATCTAAAATAATATTTAACCATTACATAGATGAGTTAGATGTTTAAGTTAGATTTTATATATATATATATATATTTTTTTCCAATTTATAGGGGGTTTGTTAGGCCACACATAACATTACTCAGGCTTCACTTCTGACAGCACTTATTGGACCGTGTAGTCAAACTGGGGCTCTCTGTGTGTTCCCTGTTAATTTATATTAAATAATTCCTATTTATAATTTACATATTTACAAGACATTCAACATGGTCCTGTGACTGCGAGTTTATTTGTATGAAAAAACATTCACAGCATATTTGAATAGTTACAAAAACAAACCAAAACGGAAGACATATCAAATGATTAGTTACTTCAGGCAAGAAAAAAATGTAGACTACTTGTTGGTAATTCTCTCTACCTCCATATGCTTCACTTTTAATAGTCATATGGATTATTTCATGATAAAAATAGAGTTCATCCACTAAAAGAGGGATAAAATGTTCCTGCTGAAACAGTTGGCAGAGATCCCTCCATAAGTACGACCTCTCCAATACGTGGGTTTCTTTTGTTGTTGTTAAATACGTTTTTTTTTTAAAAAATTTTTTTTTGAGGCACCACGGTTTACAGCAATGTTCATGGTAGCATGCAGTGTTCCTGAACATTGTTCCTAGTCCCGGCTGAATTTTAACAAAGTGAGTCATGGGACCTAATGTTTGCCCGCCGGACTTCTCTGTCAGGATCTGACTTTCTGTCCAATGGCTCTTGCTTTGCTTGATCTATGTCTGTTTCTCCAGCACGGCCAGCTCAGCGTTAGAAAGCCACTTGTGCCTTTTAATGGAGGACCCTTAAGTCTGCAAGATTCTCAGTACATGCTCCCGTTTCCTTACTGCTGGCCCTGATTGATCAGATCTCTAAGATGAGGGGATCTCCAGCCCAAACACTGGTGGAGGGAAAAGGATACCACCTCCAACTCTTTAGGAGGAGACCATGGTAAGCCTCCACCACCATGGGAAACTGCAACCAGACTGGAATTTCACAGCAATGTGGGTGCTGTGGCAAGGGGACCAGTGAGGGCACCATGCCTTGGCTTTTGCTTCAGTTTCATAACAACTCCCCAAACAAAGATAAGCATCAATCAAGAGTCGTATTTTATTCTTTGGATTCTGCACTTTCTGCAGCCATAACCAGATGTTTCATACTGTCCCCTTGATGCATGGGTTGACAAGGGAGATAAATGAGGGGGGAGGGAAGGTGGTCCTAGCATCATTCCTCAACAGAGCATGGTGGAGAAAGCCGGTCCGTGACAATTTCATGGAGGTCAGGCACTTGCCTTGCCTGTAACTGGCCCTGCTTTCTGTTCCCAGCACAGAAGCAAGATCTCCTAGACACAGAATAAGTACCCTGGAGTGTGGCCTACACCCCTTCAAAAGTGCAGTTACCTTCATTGTAAGTTTTCTTCTCTAAATTTTTTAATGCTCTTTCAGTTTCCTCTTCTAAGTACACCTTTGGTTTTGTTCTGGGGCCACCCGTTGGTGCTCAGAGTTTACTCCTGGCTCTGTGCTCTGGGCTCACTCCCTGCAGGCATGGGGGACCATATGCGGTGCTGGGAATAGAACCTGGGTCTGCCGCATGAAAGGCAAAAGCCCTATCCACAGTACTATTGCTCCAGCCTCTCTTCTAAGTAGTTTTGCTCCATTTTTATATTGCACCAAATTTCAGTTTGCTCTATCCTTTCTGTTTCAGATGCTACATTGCCAGTTTATTTTTTTTATTTTGCCATTTTGATTGAAGCACCAGCATTTACAATAATGTTTAATCAAACTTGTCATGCAGACATCATGCTAACGTCACATCCATCAACTGGAGTGTCCTCTTCCCCCCAAAAGTGTTCATTTTAAATTCTAATTTTTTGCTCATGTCTACTTCCTGGAGTTTCTCTTTACAGCTTCTGTCCTAAGGAATGGAAACTAGCTTGGAAATCCTGAAGTCACTTTTGACATATTGTGTCCTATAACTATCCAGCAACATAGGAATGAATGACCAATTTATTAAAACCCTATACCTCAAAACATTTTACAGTCCATTAAAAAGGGCAAACTTGTCCTATCCTGGAGAATACTCTTTATCTTCAATAAAAAATTTATGGTCCATTTCTATCTTGGCATATGCTTATCGGGAGATAATAAGAATATATTTGGTCATCTAAGAAATGGAGAAGGTTAACCAGTAATTTCTTCCTTTAGACTTAAAAAAAGGGGGGTTATCACCAACAGTGTGGGAATAGGTGGGTACTACTCCCCCAGTGATAATCAGACCTCTCTCAGACTGATGCTCAGACACCATCTTCTTGAGACCTGGCCCTGTTGGCAACTACCAGGGCCATGCCTGGTGGTGCTGAGTAGAGGCTGGGCCCTGCCAGGGACCAAACCTGAAGTTTCTCACATGATAGGCACGCGTGCCATCCCAGTCACGTCTTTATTTTATTTATATATTTTAAATGTGGCTGGAGTGATAGCACAGCCATAGGGCGTTTGCCTTGCACGCAGCCAGCCCAGCTGAGCCGGGTTCGATTCCTCCGCCCCTCTCGGAGAGCCTGGCAAGCTACTGAGAGTATCTTGCATGCACGGCAAAGCCTGGCAAGCTCCCCGTGACTTATTCAATATATCAAACACAGTAACAACAAGTCTCAAAATGGAGACGTTACTGGGCCCACTCGAGCAAATCGATGAACAACAGGAGGACAGTGCTACAGTGCTACCTCTCTCTCTCTCTCTCTCTCTCTCTCTCTCTCTCTCTCTCTCTCATTTTAAATGCCACCAAAAAAAAATCATTTTGAAATGGAAAAAGACTGTCCAGGAATACTGCCATCACATATATAGAATATGCATGCCAGGAGGCCCGAGCCCTCATACAACGGGGAGGGCACTGGTATTACACGCTGCTGACCCTGGTTCCATCTCAACACCCATGTTTCCCCAAAATCCACTAGGTATGATCCCTGACCACAGAGCCGGGAGTGAGCCCTGAGCACCACTGGGGGTGGCCCATACCCCACCAAAATGACAAATGCAGGTTTATGTCCCCACATGAGAAATGTTTAAAGAACCATCTGCAATGGTCTAAACTAGGACTTAGCCAAATGCTGTCCTCTCTGGTCTCACCCCAAGTGGCACCCTGACACTCTCTTCTATTTAGAGCCTTTTAAGAAGGTTCTTTGGGGCTAGGGCGATAGCACAGTGGGTAGGTCGTTTGCTTTGCATGTGGCCGACCCGAGTTCAATTCCTGGCATCCCATATGGTCCCCCAAGCAATCCAGGAGTAATTCCTGAGAACAGAGCCAGGCATAACACCTGAGCATTGCTGGGTGTAACCCAAAAATAATAATTGAAAAAAAAAGGTTCTTTTCAGACCTACAAATACAAGACTGCATTACCAAAATTTCTGCTTCAGAAAGAAAATATCTATCAAAAATAAGTATCATCCTAACAAATAAGTATCATCCAAACAAATAGTTTGGGGTATTAAAATTAAATGGTGAAAGTTGGGGGGAAATAGAGAAAATTAAAGACTTTGAAGAGCAAAAGACAAAAGGAGTCACAAGCCTTGAGGAAAGAAAAAACACTGGACATGAGCTGCCCCTTCTTTATAGCTTTTCCCTTTATAGCATCTTCCAGTTCACAGCAGTGAGCACCTGAGGTCAAGCCGAAAAGGTCAGTCTGTTGCCTGATTAGCGAATCAACTGGAATCGAAAGGCCAAAATTTCAGTTAAGAAACTTCTGAGAGGTCAGCCTAAAATCTATGTGCAAAATCCCCTGAAGTTGCAGGCTAATGCCTATGCTATTCACCCCCAGACTTGCAGGCAAGGGTAGCTAACGCATTAAACAATCGAGTGGTGCTTTCAATCATGGTTCTGCTAGGGGTCAGGGTGGAGGGGGAAGGTCAAATCCCTTCAAAGCAGATGATTATTAATAATACACTTTGCTTTCAGTTGAAGCCGGAGAAATGCCATGGCTTTGAATAAGAGTGATAAAGGGGAAAGGGCTATGCTTTTGGATATAAGATAAACCAGATCTGAACTTTCTCTAAGACATCTTAAAACTAACCGTTGAGGGCCAAAGAGACAGCTCAATGGGCTGGGTGGTCCATGCACTGGTCAAGACCTTGGTTCTGCCTGATCTCCTGGGTAGCATCAGGAGTAACCACATGCATGGAGCATGGAATATTGAAATAGCCCCTGGGCACTGTCAGGCATGATTTCCCCCCCCCCCAAAAAAAAACAAATTAAAACTATATCAACCAAATCTAACTTTTGTCAGCATCAAAGGTCTACCACCCTCACTCAGCAATTAATGTTTACTTTTCATTCATGATGTTCTACAACCAACCAAAAGTTTAGAAAGAGGTTAAAAAAAATCAAGATTAAGTTGCTAAGAGTAATAGAAATGCAGTCATGAGTAGTTCAGACATTTGATTCTTAAATAGACTGATTAAAAATAAAAACACTGATTAATAAATTCAACCGTAAGAGAAACAAGTCTGGAGAATTTCAGTATGGGAGAAAATTTACAACAAGTATGAAAATGAAAATTATATCATTAAAACAATGATTGAAATTTAGGAATTCAATAATTGGTTTTAGAGATGTAAATCTCTAAAATGTCATATGCAAATGCACTATAGAGACAGTCAGTAGTACTTGGCACAAAGAGATCAAAAGATAACAGATATGAAACA